ATCAGTAAGCAGGAATATTCCCCTGCCAACCAATTTTCTTCTACACGAATTCCTATTTCCTCAAATCATTTATCTGTAAGAGTCTTTCCTGAACAGATTCTTTAAAAAAAAGAAAAGAAATCAATGGGCAGTCTTCCTGTTTACTGCCAATTCTTCTCCCTAAGCCAGTGATTTATTTTATTGAACAAGTTTGTATAGCCGCCCAACTCACCACAAAATGACTCTTGCGACTTATTATCTCGTCCAAAACGAGGCTGAGATCAGCCATGTAACAAGCTGTCTTTGAAGACACCTCTTACTTGGCTAGCTCACAGCAACATGGACCAGCTAACTCTCAGCATTCAGAAATGGTATGATTTAATATATGGGTCTATTTACTGTATAAGCCATCTATATGCCCTTGACCTATTAGCCTTTTGGAAGATGGTGAAGACCTGGCTCCTTCATCCAGGTTGCGCACTAGGGCAGAAGTGAATGTAAAAGCAGGGAGAGTCTATGTGATGTTGCGGTACTGCACCTGGGATACGCAATGTTGTCCTGGGTTTGGTAAGTTTTATGCATTCTGCTTTTTTAATATTACTGAGAGGATTACCTTGTTTAAGATAGGCAGCTGTATGAATAAAATAAAATAAAATGATATAAAAAGTTTACCTGTCCACTTCAGAACTCAAATAACACAACAGATGAATGGCCCATAGCAGGGGGCCCGAGTATGTTGCAAGTGCAGTAAGAAAAATGGCAGGAATTTCTACATAGTCGTTTAGCCCAACAAAGCCAGCTGAAACATCCACAGAAGCAATGCCGTTTGAATTCCCCTGGAAGAGAAAGGGGACAGTGAACAAAAGAGAATCAATCAATATACTGTAGAATTCAACAGCCCAGTAAGGTAAAAGCATCTGTGAGAAGGGAAAAGGACAGGAAAATAGAAACATGAAAACTCAATCAGGCCCTAATTCCGATAAAAACTTCAACCACAGGGACTCTATTTTAATTTATATAATTATTTTCTTTAACCCTCTGACCTCCAGAGGCACCTGTAACAAAGACTGTTTGGAGGGAGGGAATTACAGTAGGCAAAAGACTTATTATTCCTATTAGTTTATATACAAGGAAAGGCAAAAATCCAATTGAACCATTAAAAAAGCTAATGAAGAGCTCATGTACTAAGAATCAGACGATTAATACAAGAAGCAATACACTAGGTCGAAAGAGGAAGAAATCAACAAATAAACTTTTTCAGTGTTCCAACAGAGTTCTCTTACAGCATTCACAAGTGCACAAAATGGGGCAACTTTGTGTGTGTGTGTGTGTGTGTGTGTGTGTGTCTGGGGATCAATCCATAGCAAAAAGAAAGCATTCAACTCTTCTGGATGAGCTAAACAGTGAGCCCGTAAGAGACCTATTAATTCAGATTGCCAGGCTCAACGCAGAGGGTAGCACAGCAACATATACAGTATGCAGCACTGTCTTAACTGCCTCATTGGGGGTGCTGGAAACCTTGAGATCAAATGTTATAAAAAAAATGTCTCTAGAACCAAGGATGGCAGACGACTAAGTCTAAACAGTGAGAAAGTTATTTTATACAAAGACAAAGAGGAAGTTATTAAAGGAGCTAGATGTTAAAACTGACCAACAGAAACCACTATTATAATAATAAGAAGTTTACTTTTATTTCTCTGGTCAAGGCTCTCTCAAAACCCAGGATCATCAAGAACTGTGATGACACACCACAATAATATAAAGCCGCGATTATGTCTTTCTTTTTGAGATGAAACAATTTTATCATCTAGGATTATGGGCCAACATTCCTTCTAGAAAGATTAATTTCAGCCAGTACTTTAATTTGCAAGACCTCATATGATCCTCTAAGAAAAGAAAAAGGTAGGTTCCAAAAGTAGAAGTGAATTTGATGCATTCTGGGGAATGCAAAGCATAATTCTTAAGATTTGAATTCAATAAGCTAAAAGGATCTTGTATTATTGTTGATGTAAGTGCCGGACTATATTCCACAGGATATTAAAACTCACCTCATAATCTTGCATGATTTTATTGCAGCCAGAACAAAATTATTGCCACCAAGATATGCATAAGAGCTCAACAATTATATATTTCCGTTGTTTCTTCCTAGCTATAAGATGATTAGGAAAAAAAACCCTATAATTTTAAATTTTAAAAATTATGTGCATGTATCATTAGTAGGGATGCCATTTATATGCCAATTGTAAGAGCAGGTAGCATACCTTGTATTACAGAATTTGTTATTCCGATACTTGACCTTTTTTATTTTATTTTATTTTTGCTACAAAATGCTGCCAAGACGCTACCTTCAAAGTGTTGCCCCTAGCCTTGAAAAAGTTGTCCACCCCAGAGTTATGGATTCAATAAACAGCAGTTCGGGGTATTAAGAGAATTTGGCACCAAACTATCTTGATGTTAAGTCTATCTCAACCTTCAACAATTATTCTCTTCATTTCAGAAATATGACAAGGGGATAATCTATTTGATGTTGCACATCTTGACTGCTGCTAGACTGGCGTTTGCACAAAAATGGAAGAACAAAGAAACTCCCACAGAGGAAGAGTTACTATGTAAAATACTACCTTGCGCTGAAATGGACAGGCTTACGATGGAACTGAAGGATAGAAATGTTTATACTGGAATGTTACATCATGTCCAATGTTTTCTTTTTTAACTGTATTATAAATAAAAAACTTTTTTAAAAAAATATTCTCTTCATTTCTATTTGCCTTGCACTGGCTCACACATGGAAGATTATAGGTAAAGACACAAAGGAGAATCTTGATTCTGGAACTGTTCATGCTTAGTACTATAGGATGGCAAAGGAAACTACAAAAATAACCCCTCAATCGTTAGCTCACTCTCTGTGGAAAATCAGCCATCAACAATGACAGAGAATATTAGATATCAATGATTTTTGATTATTATTTTAAGGGAAGAAATTCTGTTCAATATTAAACAAAAGCCAACATATATTTGTATGCATTTCATTTTATTTAAAGACTGAAAATGTTTAAATTGCAAGAAGGAAGTTTTAGTTCTCCATTTGATTTCACAGAAAGGCTTGAGGGTAAATTATATGCTGTTCAGATATTACATTTTAAATATTAAAGCTATACCATACCAATTCCATTTCCAGGAACATATCAGCCTTCAACCCTATAAACTGAGGAACACACACAAATCTTGTCTTCAGAAAAGATAAACTACCAGGAGGGCAGAACCAGCTGTCACAGAAAATCGATCTGCTATACCCACCACTAGTATCTTCTATCATGGTGGACCTACGTGGAGGGATGCTTTCTTTAATGCATTATATATTTTTGAACATGCATTAGGAAAAAAAAGGCAGGACATTAATTTTTAATGTTAATGTTTCTGTTATCAGTAGAAATAGGAAAAATACAGTACATGACATTTTGGTAAAACAGCATTCTATTTTTCTCCCTGTTACTTTGAGAACTATATTCACAAATCACCCCCAAGGGTATGGCCTCTATGCTGCCTGAATTGTATACACACATACAGAAACACACA